AGCCACACCCACACCCACACCCACACCCACACCCACACCCACACCCACACCCACACCCACACCCACACCCACCCACACCCACACCCACACCCCACCCTCTGTTATTATGAGTATGAGTTTATTTGAGATGAGTTGAGTTGAGTCATCAATGTGGATCAGATAGCTACGTTGTCTGATTCAATAGGGACAGGAACTTTCGTGCCATAGCGAAGCAGTGTAGTGCTAGGGAAGGCCTCTATGTGTCGTTGGTCCCTATCGTTAATACGGTATACCTTCGGCCATTGCCCTACCAGTTCGGCGCGGTCCGCCTGTGGTACCTATGGCATCGGCAAGGAATCTCTTCCTTGTCGCGCGCGCGCGGCTAAGTCAAAATGAGCCGAGAACAATCGAAACGATTAGCAATGTGAATAAATTTATTGAGCAAGCGAAAAGAAAAAATTACAGTTACATTGTCTTTTTTACATAGTCAATTGAATTTGTGACTGTTTTAATATTAGGATGATTAGGTGGAAGTGATTTTTGCCAGATAGAAAGTGCTTTTTCTAAGAATGAGAGTGCTTTTGAGTAGTCTCCTTTGCCGAAATATGTAGTACCAATGTTGTTGTAGGAACCAGCCAAATCGGGATGATTCGGAGGCAGAGCTTTTTCTCTTATTTTAAGTGCTTTTTCGTAAAATTCAAGTGCTTTCGAGTAGTCACCCATGTTCTTATACACTAGGCCGATGTTGTTGTAGGAAGTAGCCAAATCGGGATGATTCGGAGGCAGAACTTTTTCGTCGATTTTAAGTGCTTTTTCGTAAAATTCAAGTGCTTTCGAGTAGTCACCCATGTCGTCATACACTCCACCGATGTTGTTGTAGGAAGTAGCCATTGAGGGATGATTCGAAGGCAGAGCTTTTTCTCTTATTTTAAGTGATTTTCCGTAAAATTCAAGTGCTTTCGAGTAGTCACCCATGTTCTTATACACTAGGCCGATGCAATTGTAGGAGCTCGCCAAATTGGGATGATTTGAAGGTAGAGCTTTTTCGAGGATTTTATGCGATTTTTCGTAAAACTCAAGTGCTTTCGAGTAGTCACCCATGTTGTTATACACTTGACCGATGTTGTTGTAGGAAGTAGCCAAATCGGGATGATTCGGAGGCAGAACTTTTTCGTCGATTTTACGTGCTTTTTCGTAAAATTCAAGTGCTTTCGAGTAGTCACCCATGTTGTTATACACTTGACCGATGTTGCTGTAGATGGTAGCTAATGAAGGATGATCTTCTGGTAGAGTTTTTCGTTCAATTTTGAGAGACATTTCATAAAATGAAACTGCTTCTTTGTATTGTCCTTGGTCGTTTTTCAACCATCCAAGCTGGTGATAGATATGTGCTTTATCACTGTCGTTGGATGTCTGTTCTAGTAGTGCCATGTACAACTCTTCGGCCTTGTCAAATTGACTTATTTTGAGCAGCAATTTACCCATTCGATACCATCCAATGCAACCTGAAGATTCTTCTCGTATACGGTCGGTTAATTGACGCAGTTGTTGGTCATCATCCGACGTAAGTCTAAGGTCCACTTGATAAAGTGGACTTTCCTTGTCAATTTTTCTGACTTCACTAATTCGAAAGACGGTGTGCATGGAGAAGAGAATTTCCTCTTCGTCCTTGAAATAGCTCACCTCCCGGATGGAGGCGAACGGAGTCGATGAGACAGTAGGGTCTATTGTCATTTGAAAAAGGATGCCGATCATATCGGTTGCTCCTAA